CGCGCTCCCACCCGCGGAGCGGGGCCGTGTGTGGGCTGGGGAGCGCTGGGGCCTGACCCGCGCCCGTCCAGGCGCTCACCGCGGGGCAGGGACCGGGCCCAGGGCAGGGGCAGGGCCCGCCGGAGCGCGGGCGGCCCCGAGCGCTTCGTTTCCCGTAAAGCTGAAGCGGAGAGTGTGAGCCGAAATGGCCGCTCTCGGGGTTAGTGCTGGGGGGCTGCGCCGCCTGGCGGGGGTGCTGACCAGGGAGGCAGCTGCAGCTGGATCTGCAGGAGGTTTGTGCAAGGTGAGTCCCAGTCATCTCTAATCTTTAAGAACGGAACTTGCACCGCCATCAGTCTGTCCGTCTGCGCCCTAGAAGCCTGTTTTTTTGGAGTTGGAAGGGCTCTTGAGTTGTTAGGGGAGGAGAATAATGGGTAGGGAACGCAACGCCTGCGAACGTGGCGGTGGAAGCCGTCTGAGCAACGCGTGACCTCCTAGGATCGCATCTGGAGAGCTCTCGGTGCTCTTCCAGCTTCGGAAACGGGAGGGAGAGACACCGCAGATGAATACCCATTCCCTCGCTAGCCTCCAGAGTGGCCAGCGAGCGGAAGATAGTCTGCTACACATGCTGTGAGTGCAGTAACACATCGCCTTTGTGTCGGGTTTCCCTTCTCATACCGGTCCTGTTTCTCTTAGGCACCATGCCTGCCCTCAGACCTCTCGTGAAACCTAAAATCGTCAAGAAGAGGACCAAGAAGTTCATCCGCCATCAGTCTGATCGCTATGTCAAGATCAAGGTAAGAAGTCACTGGAAATTCATTGCAAAGTGAATTCTGGGACAGTCGGATAGGGTTGCCGTTAGGGTTGATGGTGAATTGAAGCACAAAGGGTCAGTGTTGGAACAGCAGGCCATGCTGTAACAGCCTGGCACGGTGGATCTTTTTGGAGATTGGTTTTGGCTGGAGCTGTTACCTTGAGGGAGGAGTTTTCAGACTGATCTCATTTTGTAACTATTAAATATGTTCCGCATTTCTTCAGCGCAACTGGCGTAAACCGAGAGGTATTGATAACAGAGTTCGCAGGCGGTTCAAGGGCCAGATCCTGATGCCCAACATTGGCTATGGTAGCAACAAGAAGACAAAGCACATGCTGCCCACGGGGTTCAGAAAGTTCCTGGTCCACAACGTCAAAGAGCTGGAAGTGCTCATGATGAGCAACAAGTAAGTCTGCAGGGCCTGCGCGCTCCCTGCCTTGTGCGGAGCCGTGGCCGGCAGCTCTGCTGCCCGCGCTGGGGTTGTGCGCTGCCCGTACCCTAAAAGTGCTGGGTCGGGAGACAAAAAGGCAGCGCAGTCGGGGGGGAGTGAGGGAAGTTGTTGCTTTTAAGAGCATGAAGGTCGTCTTGGTTTCCTTAGTGCCACTGGCAGGAGGGCGTCTCGCGGCTGGCAAGCTCGTACCTTTGGCAAAAGTACGACATCATGGCGGTGGTCAACAGCACTGCACCTACAGCACTTTGATAAAATAGTGATCAGAACTGTGGCTTTGTATCTGTTCAGACACAGGCCTAAATCTACTTGTAGCACCTCTTTCAAAATAAAGTAGTAAGAGTAATAATTAACACCATTAAAAGCTACCTCTTACTGGCTCTTCGTTCGCAAGAAGGAGGGCGGAAGAGTCGAGCTGTTCTGGCGGTGAGCTCCTGCTTCAGGCCAGAACGGGTCGGGCTTGGCGATGGGGGTGGGAGTCGCGTGGTTCAGCTCTTGTGTGGTGATGCTTCCGTGCTCCACTGCTGGCAGGACACCTCTGCGGTGCTTTGCCTTGTCTGCTGTCAGCGCTGTTGGAGCCGAGCCTGACACGCGGTCTGTTTCCAACAGGTCGTACTGCGCAGAGATTGCTCACAACGTGTCTTCCAAGAACCGGAAGGTAATCGTGGAGAGAGCCGCTCAGCTCGCCATCAAGATCACCAATCCCAATGCCAGACTGCGCAGTGAGGAGAATGAATAAACCAGCTTCTACATCCAAGATGTATTTAATAAAGTGTAAAAACGAACCCTGGTGGGTGTTTTGAATGGCCAAAGGGAAAGACTTCGGCTTGGTGCCCATGTGCAGGTGGGGCAGCCGCCTGCTGTTGGGGTTCGGCAGACCGCGGTGTGGCTGCGGTGCAACTGCTGCGTGAGCCTGGCTGCCCAAGGGTGGGCTCGCAGCAGCACGCGTGCTCGGGGTAGTGATTTGCAGTGTCACTGTGATAGCAAATGAATTCAGGAGTGCACGCAGCTTCACAAGTATATTTTTATTTTTTATACCACTCAAACAGAATGGATGTTCTTTCACACGGCACTATAAATTACTTTTCACATCAACCACTCTGTCAAAAAAGGAGAAATGAAAGCTTATTACAGCTCCATGGCTACAAGAAGTGTGTCATGGTGGCCTTGTCCTCTAATTTGCTGTTACGTCCTCTCTGTCTCTTAAGGCTTTTTTTCCCCTATGCAAAGCAGGATTTGAACACAACAGCCACTACAGAGTAAGTTTTCAAATGACAGAAGGGTCAGTGCAGGCTGCTTGCGCCTCTGGCTACTGACTTTCACCTCTCTTTCTTTTGTGACGCTAAAATACTGAATACCAGCTTTCCTGCCAATGCCTGCTGCTGCTCAGTGACCAGAGTTCAGCGTAGATCAGTGCCTTCGCGGCTGGTTGCTCAACGCGAACACCGAGCTGCTCGAAGGGGGAAAGGTAAGCCTGTGTTAAAGGCAAAGGAAAGCTTAGGGTAAGGTTTGTCGCTGTAACGCAATCAAGTAATTCTCTCTTTTGGAAGACGGCTGGTTGAGGTATTTTGCAGTCAAAACTGTAACAATGGAAGTCAAGCAATAATGTGCTCTCCAGTGTTCGGGCGATGCGAAACTGAACTACCGGTGCCTGTTTTGGGAATCGGGCGCCAGGTGGAAGGCCGGGGAGTCTGGGTAACGAGCTACCCCCGCGCAGCTCCTGCAGCTCGGCTAATGCAAGTCTCCTCTTTTTGAAACAGGGCCTATGGTTACAATGCTCATCGCTAATTAAAGATGTGACTTCTAGTTTTTAGCCATTTTACTTAGTGAAACAATATAAATACATTCTTCAGGCAATTTGGGGTAGAAAGTGCATGTGCAGTGGCTAAAAAAAACACTTTAAACTATTTTTCTTTGTACTGCAGTAAGGAAATGTTTCAGGCAGTAGTTTCCATTTTTCATGGAACCAAGCTCAATTTCGATTGCTTTGTACACCCCTTAAAAACTTGCTGAAAAATGAGAATACTCTTCTTCCAGCCCCTCCCCTGCATAAGGATGCATTTCCCATCCCTCACGTATCTCGTTAAATTCAGCGAGGTGTCTGATGCAAGCGCAGCTGGAACCAGCCATTTTCTCCTGTTGGTTGGTGCCCAGAGACTTGCAAGTGGCTATTGCAGTAGAGACCAGCTCGATGATGTTCTTCCTTGCCCCGTCGGTGGCGTCCCTGTTCGGCTGATGCATTGTGAGGGCAGGAAGGTGGTGGAGTAAACAGGCAGATCTTGCTTAGCTCATGTCCATCGACTCTGAGGTGGGCAGGGAAGCAGAATCTTTCTGAATGCTTTCAAAAAGTGACGCCATTTCAGGATTGGATCTGATCTGAGAGGAAAACTCAGCCATCACTGGACTTTTCTCTACTTCAGGGATGGTCAGGAGAGCAGCTACTGCTCTCATGGCGGATCGCTTCAGTTCATCCTGCTTCTCAAACTCCTGTTTCACGGAACCAGCTTTTACCTACAAATCCAAAGCACCGTTTTTAGTTGGCGTTTAGAAAAGACAGTAGAGGCACAAAGAATCGGACACGCCAGCAGGGACAGAGACAAGCAGATTATTTCCTAACCGGAGGAGTGTGGGGAGTGGGCTGCTCAGAAGCAGTGACGGAGAAGGCTACCAGCACAGGTGGCTTTGTGGCAGAACCCACCCCCAGTGCGTCACACTCCGCCAGATCTTACCTTTGTGGAGCAAGTTGCCCGGAGTGGCTCAATCAGTCGCTCGAGCCGTTGCAGCACGGGATTTGGACAGAGTGTGGACAGCCGAGCCAACATTATGAAAGTCAGCATCTAGACAAAGGAGGAAAGACAGAACAGGCGTTGCTTCACTGCACCCTCCGATCCCCCGGGCTTAGAGCGTGGATCCTCTCTGCTGAAGCCCGTGTGGTTCTGCCTGGGGTGTCGTGCTGTACCCACACAGTGCTGAGTTTCTTTGCACTTGTGCAAGGGGTTTTAGGAAGAGCTGTGGTCGTATTAGAAATGCACCCGCTGGCAGCCAACGTACAAGAGTTTCCCAGCTGGGTGCTGGTCCCAGGTGCATGGGGTGCCCTGCTCTCGGGTGTCGGTAAAGGGCTGACAGCCTTTGAGAGAAATGGCAACGTTCAGCACAGGGATCGTGCCACTGCTGTACACGTGTCGAAGTGGAGGTAAATCAAATGATAGTATGAAAAGGATGTAGCGCTTCCTATTAAACTGAGGCCATCAACAATGAAAATGCTAAATTTTTTTTCAATATAATGTCATTGGCCACACTGAGCAAGTGACAATCATAAGTTTAAAGGCAGAAGGAACTTATTTTAGACTTTGGTAAATTTCCTATAAAACCAGCTACACCAGGGTTGCATTTTCAAGGCCACCACAGTCAAACTAGAGCAGACAATGTCAGATGAAAGGCTGCAGCAGCTGCAGAGAACAGTAAACGGCATGGCAGGGGCACTCTGTGCTGTGGCGACACACCAGCTCAATTCAAGCCCAGACCCCCAGAGAATGAATAACATCAGTGCCGTCACCACCCTCCAGCAGTTAAGGCACAGCATCTACCCGAATGTCATAGTGATCCTTCAGTCCATCCTCCACGTGGTTCAGGTACTCATAGATATCCAGTCGGTCAAGGCAGCTTTCCAGCAATGTATACATGCACTCAAAAGCAGCTTTCCTCACGTCAAGGCCATCATCCACTGTGTGCTTGAATGGCCCCATTTCTACCTTAAACAAGAAAAAAAATACAGCTGTCACCTAACAGCAGACAGGGCGACAGCTTCATCTCAGCTTCACACGCGCTGAGTCACTGCCGTATTGCACCCAAGCCGAACTACTGACATACCTCCCGGATGAGTTCCCTTCTGACCTTCGTTTCGTTATACAGGCTGGGGAGAACTGCATTTAGTAAATCTCGGATTAAAGAGGGTTTGTTGTGAGCAGCAGAATTAAACATGGCTAAAGCCACACGTCGAACATTCAGGTCCGGATCCTGAAGAGTTTTTAAGAAGTCACCTGTGGGATAAGAACACACCCGTCAGTCCTGCTGCAGTGTTTTAGAAGTATTTTAAAACTATATCACAATGTATTTCAAGGAGCCTGGTTATGAAAGCACCTATAGTAAAATAACTCGAGGGGCACAGTCTAACAGAGACATTAGAGGTGCTTTCCCTGCCTTCATTTGGGATACAGTAAATGGAAGAAACATGACTTTCCTGCATTTGGGCATAAAAACAAACCACCTGATTCTGGCTACCTCATCCTACAGTCAAATCAGAAGCTTTGGTATTCAAGGAAGTTGGTTTTGTTTTTTTCTTGCTCAGATCTCATCTGCTCAGACTCCTCTGAAAGACAAGGCCCAGTTTTATACAACAGTTCTGAGATGTAGGCTCCCTAGACATAAGACCCTTTTAATGTAGGTTGTATTTTACAAGATCCTTGTTGTGGGATGCTTGAATCGTAAGTTCAAACACAGAAGGAACTTACGCTCCCTAAAAAACTGTCGCCAGTAGAACATGCCCAAGAGCAAGGTATCAGAGCATTTAACAAGGACTCACGTGGCAGCGTTGCTCTGTAATCCCAAAAGCAGAGAAACATGGATAAAAACTGGATTAGATGAGGTTCACATAGGTGTGAAAAATCCCCGAGCTGCTAACGATGCCTAACGCATCGCATGTTCCCAGCTCACACTGCTATTCGTACTAGCCTACCTATGCAGCCTTTCAGGAGAGCATCGATAGGCTGAGGCTGGTCTGCAATTGTAAATTTGATTGCAGTTACCACCGTGCTCCGGGCATGTGGAGAGCCTGCGATGAAGACAGAAAGAAAAACCAGTGGAAGATCAAGAGACAAAAGCATTGCTGTAATTTTGACGTGCATATTCTGCTTTTGGTCACGTTACACATGCATTGAAGAGATAAGAGAACAGAGGATTTGTCTTAACCTCCTTGTTTAAATTCTGCCCCAGCACAACCTCCATGTGCACTCCCTGTTCCTAACACCCTCCTGCACCCTGTGCAACCCAGTGCTCCTCCTTGCAGAGATCCCTCATTTCCTTCTCGCCTCTGCAGACTGGCTTTGCTCCCTGTTGAACCCACCAGCAGTTTACAAGAGGAGTTTCCAGCAAAACAAGGCATTTCCCCACTCTCACCATTGCCCTTCCCATTACCTGACGACAGCTGTTTTTTCAGCCGGGGCAGCAGCTCAGAGGGATTCACCAAAGTCAGCTTCCCCAAGCATTCAGCCACCACGTTGCGCGTCCCTTCCTCTGTGCACTCACAGTGCTTGAAAAGCAGAGCCCAAATATCCTCCACGTAAGGTTTGATGCCATCGGCCGGGGAGGAGCTGATGACTTCTTTTAGAGAGTGCAGCAGGAGGTACTGTCGCTTGGGCTGGCTTCCGATCTCTTTCAGCATGAAGGGAAGATACTCCTTAAGATTCCCCACGCTGATGTTCCCCAACGCATAGGAAGCAGCGGATTTCACCTCTTCGCTGGGGGAAGTGAATGCTTCCAGGATGACGGTTTTGAGCTCTCTCTGAGCACTGAGGTTCATGGTGCGCCCCATCTCTGCCAGTGAAAGGAAAGCTAGCACTTTGACAGCAGAGCTGGACTTGGGGTTTTTTACATCCTGGATAAACTGGTTCACTGTCGCAGGGGCTTCCTTTGGGCAGGCTGAGGAAAGGGCTGCCACGCACTTTGCAACAGAGTAATACGCCTGTTTGTGTAACGTCACTGATGCCCCGGCTGAACCTGAGGAGTAAATAGGTGCAGTCAGCTGCTTCATCAGCTCCGAGTAACCCATGGTGGCTGTCTTCGTCAGAACCAGCGCCTGGAAGAAGTCTATGATAGCGTTCAGTGCCCCTCCTTGCAGCAAAGGCGAGTTTGAACCGCTGATCTTAGAGATGCAGGATGGATAAACCTTAGCTAACGTAGTAAGGAACATGATAGCCACCTGGGAAACATGCATGTCATTCTCAGTAATTAAAGCGGGGAGCTCCGTTAGGACAGACTCTATCATGGCAGGCTTGAGGCTGTCGCTGTAGTTCTTCACCAGGATGTCCAGAGCAGTCAGAGTGCTCAGTTTCAAGGCACGTTGATTCTTTCTCAAGAAGGAAGCTAGAATGGGGAAACCTTCCCCTAGAATGGGTCTCAAATCTATTTTAAGTGGAGAACTAGCAATTAAAGTCAATGCTTTGACTGTTGTCAATCTGGTGATTTCATTTTTGAGCCTCTCCAGAAATATCTTCAAGGTTGGCTGGAGATCAGTGCTTAAATGGTCTCCCAGATTGTAAATGATTTGTCCCATGCAGGAGATGGCACGCTCTTTCACCTCCTGGTCGATGTCAGCTGCCTTCAGTCGCTTCAGAGTACCAGGGAAAAGGTCCTTCACATAGGGCTTGGCATCAAAAGTGCAAGATTTGTCCAAAGGCCTGATAACTTTCACAAGTTGCTGAGTAACGAGCAGAGCTTCTGAAGTGATCTTATAAAAGGGGTCTCCAATACAGGTCACAACAGGAGGTAGCAGGCTTTTGATATGAGGATGAAATACCTCCGGCCGGTGGTTGCAAAGAAGAACATGAAGGAAAGCCAGTGTATCAATCCTCATGTTGGAGGAGCTGGATTTATCGGCCAAGGAGAAAACAATACCTAAGCAGAAGAGACAAGAATGACTGCTGTCTTATTTCATCAAGTGGTTTTTACCAACCCAACTTCCCCCCTCAAAAAATGGACACAACCAGAATCTGTTTTCTTTCTTTCCTCTCCCCACCCAAAAGATACATGCCATTAAAGAGAGCTACTCTCCTTGACGTCTTTCTGCTTTCCAGGAAGTACCAATTCAGACATAGCTGTTCTTTGTAGCAGTACCGGTTGGCTGGCTACGAAAACTTTTTAAAAAGTTAATTCGAAAAGTCATTCTGGGCTGAGACGAGAAGGGATGGTTAGTCAAGTGCAAATAAGCATGACAAAATGGCATGAAATTAAGACTGGAAAAGCCTAGTCTCAACAACAGGCACTCCAGGCAGCAGG